GGCTGAGGGACAGAGGGTCTGGGACATCTCTGTCTCAGTACAAGATCTGCTTAGCGCTTGGCATGCCCAGGAGGACTGGCATGCAGCACTTTTCACACCACGTGCACTCGTACTGCAGGCTGGCAGGTACCACTATGATGCTTCGGGTAATGTTGCTACCAAACTTCGCTATCATATTTTACCAAGCTATACTATTATGCTTCCTGTCTTTGAGGATGGAGTTGCGTGCAGAATGGAGCGGTACCAGCTTGCAGCAGTCTGTGTACACATAGGCGACAGGCCCACACATGGTCACTATCAGGCACTCCTGTACAACCCCAGCCCCGATAGTGATAGTGTCTATCTCCTCGATGATGGCAGGGCCCCCGTTCAAGTTAGTGATAACCGTGTTGTCAGTCTTTCCAGAGACATGAGTTTGTTTGCCTACATCAAGTGCCAGTGACCTCGTTCCCGCTTGTAGGGTATCCGTACCGGGGAACCGGTCGGGGGGGGATGCACCATTCATGGTGCAGCAGATCCGGGCAAAGCCTGTCCCCCAGCATTCGTTAGCCGAGTGATTGAACTCTGCCACGCCGAAAGTGAAAGTGAAAGTATGTATGTATGTATGTATATATATATATGCATATGGGAGAGGGTCTTTTAGGGTTCATGTGGCTCAGTAGATATGAAAGCATCGTTGCCAGGTGTGCAGTTAGTCATGCAAAGGTTCGCAGTCATGGCGGTTGCCTACCTGATCCAGACTGCTGCCGTCGACCCCGTAGGCCCGGTTCATTGCTGTTGTACTCAGAGTCTCAAACTCGCATTGTCATCAATTCTGTCTTACAATAGGTCTGGCCGATGTGAGACCAGCTTTGCTGGCTTTCGGCCGATCTCTCTAATCCTGCATTGGGGGAGATTTAAGTTCCCCAGACGCATGTCCACGCTCATGGGACATGCTTCCATTGTATGTGGTGGTAAGTGTCCGACACCACCAAACCTGTTTTCCGATGTCAGGTTTTTGGACACGTGAGCGATTCTATTCTTATAAACTTCGTCCGTCGCAAGGAAGGACATTGACTGGGAACTACATGATGCTGGCATTGCTGCATCTTGTACAGGATTGGCCGACGTAAGCCCACCTCAAGTGGCCAGCGTCTACCCAGACCGGCATCAGACCACGGGTTTGGGCGGCTCGTCGCACATACGTGAATGTAGAAGTCACATACAAAACCTGGTTCCGACCTGGCATTTCCAAGTATATGTATTCCATAGTGTTGTGGAAGGACTCCATCCAGTACGCTCAACCGGCGCAACCTTGCACAGCGGAAACACCGCAAGACGCATGGGCTCGTGTTGTAGTTTTCGCCCGGAGGACGATGCAGGAATCGCAAGCCTGTCGACGTGCCAGCTACCGACCCCATTCAAATCAGAATAGGACGTGGGCCTCACTTGGACGAGACATCATTGTCTTACTACCCTTACTACCAGCGACCCGAACATCTATGCACAAGTCGCACGAAGAACAAGAGCCCGTGTAAGTCCAAGATACCTCATTGTGTTAGAGAGCAACGCTTAGAATTTGCAATGTCACATCGTCGTACCACATGTGCAAATTTCTCTTCAGGAGGGGATCCATCATGGAAGTCGAAGACAAGACGCTCTCAGAGAAGGATGCCACTGAGCAGGGCATAAGACCTCTTGTATCTATCCCATTTCGAGCACCACGCTCAGCCATGTTCTGCAGTTCATGAACCCTTACAGTCGATCACCTCCCAGGCCAGAGGCCAGCGAGGAGCGCAAGCAGACAAACACGTAACCCCTTAAAGACATTGGTACTGAGATGTCTACTGACATTTGGATCTGCTTCAAGCCAAGGCAATGTCACATTCCGTGGCTCGATTTATGCCCCCACTTGGGACACCCTCATCCAAGCCATCGTCCAGAGAGTGTGTTGGTTGCATGTAGTGCACGTTTCGTAACTATAAACGAATGTGTCCCCATGTTAACAGGCTGCGATCATCAGCCGAGACGATTCTGAGAGAGCCGCTCTGAAGCATAGTGCGTGTACACACCCAGCCCCTAGTATGAGCATTCCTCCTATGAACTTCTCGCTCACTCTGGTGGACAGGCGAGACATGACGAGCATATGTGGACTGTGCTGGGAGCCAGATGTTGCTGGACTTTACACGTTATGTTGCAGGCCGCTGTGTGTCCAGGCGATTGTGCCTACAAGCCCATTATGGACGAAGGAGACGTGGCAGGAGTGGTGCACGCTGCAATTGTCTGCAGGAAGATGACTGAAGCCTTCGTTGCCTTGAACTGATCAAAGACAACAGGAAGAGGCAATTGTTGGTGACTGGGGACGCAGGTGTCCAGCCGCAACAGATCAAAATAGAGTCAAGCGTGTCAAGCACACGCTTCGGACAAGTCCAAGGTGCCGCAGCGTACCGCTGGCAGGTCCCAAATCAGGATAGCGTAGAGACTATGTAAAACAAGGCTACTGCTTGCTGCTGTCTTGAAGCCTTGATCTTCTGAATGCCGACTTGTAGCTTTTGCAAAGTCAGACGTATCAATGGGCTTTGCATGTGAAACGTGATGCCATACTCGACGACATTGGCATCGCGAGCATGTGGCTCAGTCTTTGGTATTGTGAGCTTGATTATAGTCTATAACATATATCGACATGTGTATGCCGAAGCACGCATGGGTGTCCAGACACGCATATGCACACATAAGCCGATGATGTATGGCTAGACGAGTTCTGATGTTAGCCAAAGTTATGATATGCTGAGATGGTCCCGTGACTACGCGAGACATCCAAAGACTCATTTATCGAAGTTTCTATCCTATGCATCATAGTACTTATCCGGCTAAATGGCTGACATGCATATCATATGCTGATGGTTCTCCATGCTACTCGGGGATAATCGCGTGACTCATGCGAGCGGTCAATAAGAGCATCGCAAATCGATATATGTCTCTATAGGAAGTAGCAGCGAGATACCATTGTTGTTTCAGGTAGTTCATGACTCATGCAAGGAGTCAGCAAGAACATCGCGAATCCATATATGTGTCGATAATAGCAGGAAGTGGTTGCGAGATATCATTGATGTCTCAGGTATGTCATGACTTATGCAGGCGGTCAATAAGAACATTGCAAGTCGATATATGTTTCCATATGAAATGGCATCGAGATATCATTCATGACTCGGGTATACCATACATCATAACCGGCACCCGATGGGGTTGCTTGCAGACATGACTTGGGGTTCTCAGTGCTCAACTGCTTCAAAAAAGAATCCAAACAAATGCTTTAAGGATCAGGCGACTCAGTAATGTACATTTTTTGTTCGAGTTGTAAGGAATTTTTGTTGGGTAGCCCATATATAAATGGAGTTACATGGAGTTACCGTAAAACCTCACACATGGAAGGCCTTAGAACCACCCCCCGTAAAAAATCCTGGAGCACCCTATCAAAAGCCTTACGAAGCCCCAAAAGCCCCATAAGCGTCACTTATCAAATCCATTCATCACCCTATAGAGCCCTCATTCAGATGAGGTGCAGAGATCAAGTTCGTTTCGCAGTTCTTCCAGGCGTGGTGAGTCCGAGGGCTTCGGTCTTCGGGCTTAGGGTTTAAGGATGTTTCGGTTTTGTGTAAGGGCCTTATAAGGGTTCTATGAGGTTCTGAAGGGTTGCTATAAGGGGTCACAGGTTTAGGGGTTCAGAGTTTTGGATTGAAGGCTCAAGGTTCGGGGTTTTACAGTATACGGTTTGTTGTGCAGGGTTTGGGGATTTGGTTTGGGGGTTTTGGGGAACATGGGATCAGGGTTGATCGGCTTCGGTGTACTTGGAGCATAGGTTTTGTCTGCTGTTAAGGTATTGGGTTCAAAATCTTTTGCTAAAACTGATGGAGAGAAGCGGAACATCACCTTGTCAAATCGGTGCCAACGGTACCACGCTGTAAGGATGATAGACATCCTCACCAAGATTCCCGAGGAGCCTCGAGTTCCTTCTACCATGATTCATCCTTCATGCTCCCTGCATCACCTCGAGGCATGCCAAGCGATTTAACACGAAGGGTGACGTGCCCCAATCTGCTAGGATACACCCTGTATACTCACCGCATCGCAGGAGGACGGCATCCGGGACTACGTGGCATACCGTTGCTTGTTGAAGACTGAGTTGCATGAGCATGCGGCACTATAAGATCTATAAGTTTGTGTTGAGTACTTGCACCCCCTTTTTGATCTTTATTCAGCCTTGTTCGCCGTATCCTGGATTGCTTGGGGTCGCGGGGCAAATACTCTACTGAACCCTCCCGAACACATTGCATTCACCCGCGCAGGCCGAAACATGCGGAAACAGCAAGCCACTAGACCCCGAGCGCTCAGGCACAAGTTTTCCCCGAAGGTGTTTCTTGCGAAATCAAAGACATGACTAGGGACTAGCTTGTCACTGCGGCGAAAACCGTTGCGGTGCTGGCACGACTATCACGGTCAGTGTCGTCATCTCCAAGAATACCCGATGTGTTGCACTCCTCCTTGTTGTTGATCGGGTTGGGTTTAGGACCCTGAACTCTAAACCCTAAACCCTTGACCTGAAACCCTAAACCCTAAACCCTCAGCAATGAGCGTAAGCAAAATCCGCAAACTGAGCCCTAGACCCTAAGCCCTGGACCCTGCACTTCTGGGCCCGAGCTCGCCTTGTAACAACATGCATAGTAGCCCCTGTAGTTCTTTTTTTTTATATACATATATAAGTATATATATATATATATGCATATACACATGTCTAAAGGCAAATATGTAAATATTCAGTCATTCTTTATACCAGAGAAAACCGACAGCCCTGTTGAACTTACTAAAGACCCACGTACAAAACCCTCTTGCAGCAAAGGCTCCGGGAAGCGGCTGGAGGGCGACGAGGGCCGTGACCGCAACAAGGATGCCCGAGAATTTACGGTTCGGGGGTTTTGAGGCTTACGGCTCAGCGCTCAAACTCCTGGATTATGGGGTTTTTTGGGGGTTAGATGTAGAACCCTAGCACGCCGCAGCTCTTCTTTTGAAGGTAGAGTTGGCGCTCCTCAATCAAAACGGCTCCGTTCCGACAGACAGTCGATATAGGGGCTTAAACAATTACCAATATTATTTTGAGGAGCTCCTTATTATAATTCTAGTATCGTGGGCCCCCAAACCCCATTCTAAGTATTAAGGCCCCTATACTAAGATGGAGAAGCCATCTCTAAACCAAAACAACACCGTGGACACGCCCTGAAGGTAGGGCCTCCGGTGGGGGTTCCTTCAATCCTAGAGCTCCGTATCTTCAGAGTCAGGGTTTAGGTTTAGGGACCAGGGTTTAGTTTAGGGTTTAGGGTTTAGGGTTTAGGGTTTAGGGTTTAGGGTTTAGGGTTTATATAGGGACCAGGGTTTAGTTTAGGGACTAACTAGGAACCAGGGATTGGGTCGGCTCTCAACAGGGTAAGGCTCCAGCACCTAGGCCATCCGGCGCCTCAGCTTGGGTTTAGAGGAGTGCAGGATTGCAGGAGTTCAGGGTTCAGGACCCGGAATCCAGGGGCATGTGAATAGATCAGACCCTTGGGGTTTAGGGGTTTAGGGGTTTAGGGTTTAGGGTTTAGGGTTCTAAAGCTGAAGTCTAGCACCCTTAGGGCGCATCTACAGAAACCCTTAAAGGAACCCTAAACCCAAACCCCTTAAATGAACCCTAAAGCCTAAACCCTAAACCCTTATAGGAACTCTTAGCCTTCTCAGACTTATAGAAAGCCGGGCACCCTGCTCGGGCAGGATGCGCTTCTCGTGCACCGGGCAGCCCGGGTCGTCGACGGATTGTGCCGAGCAACTCGGCTGGATTTAGGGTTTAGGGGTTTAGGGGTTTAGGGGTTTAGGGGTTTAGGGGTTTAGGGGTTTAGGGTTCAGGGTTTAGGGTTTAGGGTTTTGGGTCTGAATACTTGGTGCTCAGGTCTCCTTCTAGTCCCCCAAAAGGAATTACACCAGGCGTGTGGGTGAGCTAATAGGCTGGGGCCAAGGGCTGTTCGGGGCTTCGGAAAGTTTAGGTTTCGGAGGGTACGGGGCTCTTGAGAGTTTTTGCGGGTCTTTGGGATTTAAGGTTGTCGGGTTGCGGGGATTTACGGTTATCAGGTGAAGAGTATGTAGAACAACTTTATGGGTCATGTGGCACCGGAAACCCTAAACCCTCAACTCTGAATAACGAATACCCGAAGCCCCCTGAACCCTAAACTCCTGAATGATTGGTAAGAAAGTTCGGCCTTGCATCAATACCCCACAGCTAGTATACCCCCCATCTAATTTTATCTAAAAGCCCTAAGCTCCCTAAACCCCTAAACCCCTAAACCCCTAAACCCCTAAACCCCTAAACCCCTAAACCCTAAACCGTGCGGGCCTGGCATCACCATTTTTTGCTGATCGCTTCGAGGCAGAATTTACCAACTTCCTTCGGGCCGGTGAGGTGCGACTGCGGTCCTGTTGTTTAGGGTTTGGGGTTTGTGGGAATTAGGGGATTTAGGGTTCAGGGGTTCAGGATCTAGGGTTGAGGGGTTTAGGGTTTGATGCAATTGGTGTTTTTGGTCTCAGTTGTTTTTGTGTTGTTCCTGTGCTTTTTTCTTTCTTAGTTTTAAGCAGCACCTACAGGTTTGCTAAGTTTAAGGGTCCGGTTGGGGTTGCAAACGTTCTATGGGTTGATCTACAGGACTGTTTTGGATTGGTAAAGTTGTTTTAATGCTTCCAATTTCCATTCTGTGGGCTTCAGGGTTTGAAGGTTTAGGTTTGGAGGGTTTGGGGATTTACAGGAGGGCTTGGTAAATGTAGGGGCCGTAGTAATTAGAATAGGGTTTCGGGGCCCGTTATACTATATTTAAAATAAGGAACCCCCAAAATAATATTGGTAACTATTTAGGCCCAAGCATTAAGGGGTTTAGGGCAAATGCGTCTGCTGGGTTCTGGCTGAGGTTTCTGACGCTTTGAAGATTGGGTATCGGGTTTCGGCCGTGCTAGACCCATGCCCTAAGCCTTAAGAATGTCAGCCCAGAGCCCCTACACCCTTCAAGCAGCCCTCTACTTTAACCTAGCCCGAACCTTGTGAAGCTCCTGTTCAGGCGGATGCCAAGTTACAGGCGTTTCTGAAGGGCCGCATCCAGTTCTCCCTCACGCCGGGGCCTCCGGGATCCGGGGATTTCTTCGGGTCCAGCAAGCCTGCCTCCTAAGATCCTGAACCGGAAACTCCACAAATCTATCTCTCTGTCTGTCTGGCGGGCTGGCTGTCTGTGTGTATGTGTGTGTATATACGTATGCATATCATATCAGTTGCACCAGGCTCTTTCTGTTTAGGCAGTCCAGTTTGGAAGCTTGGCATTTGCAGGTTTAAACAGGTCTAGACGGCAGGACCAGCCATTCAGGCTTGGGGATTCCGGTGTGGAGCTTCCGTCTCTGACGTTGCGGGTTTGGTGCTCAGACGTCGAAGCACAGCCAAGGACTACCCAGAGACTCCAATATCCCTTACTTAAGGTATATACTTTAAATTGTAGTAGGATCCGAAATACACCTTGAATCATAACAGGGATCCCTAATCTGATTTAAGGTAGATTCCTTAATTGAGGGATATTGGAGTCTCTGGCTACAGTGCAGCACATCCTTCGCATGCCTCCTGAAGCTCCTCAGCAGAAAGCCCGAAGTTTGTAAGCCCTAAACCCCAAAACAAAAAACCCTAAACCCTAAACCCTAAACCCCTAAACCCCTAAACCCCTAAACCCCTAAACCCCTAAACCGAGATGCCTTGAAACCCTACCCTAAACCCTAAACCCTAAACCCCTAA